GTCGGCAGAGTGTCGCAGACTGTAGGCTGTAGGCTGTCACCACCCTGTCGCCTGAAGATGAGGAATTCGCAGGAATCGCTCCTGGCTGGTGGCTCCTGCCCCGGCTCCGGCTGAAACACGCCCGGCGATCGATTCCAAGCTTTGCGACATCACAGGCCATTTGACGATCATCCGATAATGCCATTGTATCCGATTGTATCCCATTCTCAATTCTTAATTTGATGTGAACGTGCCTTGAACAAGACATAAACATATACTGTACCCTGAAGCATCAGATGATTTCGGTTCCAGGAATCCATAGATCGTCACATGCCCGGACATCCACCTCACTTCAAGAAATACCCAAAAGCATCCATGGAACTGGAATAGTTACTATATATTGATCCCTGTGCAATCAATTACCTCAAAATAGGTACTGTAATATATGACATACATGGATCTCAAGTGCCTTGGGTTTTGTAATGGAGGGCTCAGGACCCAGCAAACCCACCAAACTGCGACTGCATGTATCACTCATCAGCTTAGTGAAGATCGTGTAGCAACCTGTCAACTTACAACATCTTACAACCATCTTAAACTGAAAGGTTGTAACACAATAACCCATCCAGCAACCAAACTGTCAGCCTAGCTTACAACTGCTTACAACCACCATAGCCGCGTGCACCCGTTGATGCTGCGTGGCTTTGGCTTCGTACAGTACAGCCGGTGCTCTTTTCTCGCCACCAACCAGCTGCTGGAGCCACGTTACTCGTCCTCAGTTGGGTAGAGCGGAGGGGGCTATGGTAGGCCATTCATACATATTCATACCAGATAGAGTCACTTGTCATATCGTGGAATCTGGATGAATCTGGTATCCACAAAGACTTGTGTTGACCCTCGAGGTGTTGACCCCCGAGCTCCAAATGGGTATTCAAGCCGTCTTCATCGTGGTGTTTGCAAACACCCGAGCTCCACCTCGCGACCCCGACTCGTAGGGCCCCCGAGAGCGCTCTCACATCGGCCGGACCGGAGCTCCACCGGCGGAGCGGAGTGTCCCCAGGAGCGGTCCGGGACCGGACGGTGGAGAGGGGCCAGTGGACCTGGGATCAACGGTACTGTATGTGGGAGGCAGTTGAAACTGAGCCAAGCTGTAGTATAGAGACGACAAAGAAGCGTCAACATTCAGTTACTAGTCTCCCGCTAGTCTCAGGTGTCAAGGTTCTGGCATGTTCTTGCTGTAGCGAGGTGTCACGTCAAATGTCCGTGACCCATGCAACACCAAACGCAGCTTAAAATCAACACTTGTCCAACGTTTGGGTAAGAGTAGATGGAACTACCAGCTATAGCTATACCTCAGAAGAACTGATAGAGTATATAGAACTACCCTCAGCTATAGATACAGATACAGCTGATAGGATATCCCTCCAGAGTTGGCATAGCATGCAGGTGCATTTGCCGGTGCATCTCAGCCGCTCCGATGCTCCACCCCGGCCGAACCCAGGCGTCCATCGGTCCCTCTACGGAAGTCGCTGCGCAGTCCGGTGCAGGCGCGGAAGTCGGATGCGAAAGCAGGCGGGGACTGGAAGAGTTTATAACTTATACCCAGACACTCCACAGGACTGCCATATAAAGAGGGTAATCAATGTAGGCGTGCATCTATGGCAGTCGCATGGAGCGTTTGGGATATACACCGATGGGTCATTTGTATGGGGATGTACGGGGTAAATGAATGTGTGTAGCTATTCCAATCCCAGGACTGCTTTCAAAGCTGTCCATGTTTGTGGTCTTTGGATGGATCTTGGCAGCCTATTCCAGAAGGTTGAGTTATTTTTTGGAGCAATAGCAATAGAAAGAAGACCAGCACAGAATTGGATTCTCATGTTTTTTTAGAGGACGCGGGGTGAAGTTGGAACGCCCCAGCCCACTGCTTTCACTTGGCTGGATGGCTGGACTAGGACACATCTTGCATTTTACATCATTTTACTACGTTGAGATCTGAGGGATGGTCATATCGACTGGAAGAGTTGCAAAGAACATAGGTTCATCAAAAAGAGACTCATTTCGATACATGGAAAAGTTGGAAAATGAGACTGATTTGACCTTTCCATCTGAAAAAGTCTGGACTTGGTGACTTGGTCCGACCCGCGCCTCAGGAGTCACCTTGGAGGAGCGCGGAGCGGTTGTGTGGTGGGGTGGGATGGGTCGGGCCGGTGTGCTTGTTTGTTTGGTTTCTCTTTTTCTTTGAGTAGGGAGAGGGGGCAAATGGTACGGGCTGCCCTACCCAGTCTGTTGGGAGGTCTCCGGAGTCGTCCGATTTCGGGTGAGGCATACCTATCCAGGAAAAGTGGATTGGGAGAACCCCAAACGAGCAGGGAAACAAAGGTCAGCCTTTATTGTCTACAGGAAATGGGCGAAATGGGCTCAGATGTGTCAGAGGATTGGGGTATTTCATGGTAATTATCATTTTTGCACGATTCTTTTGCCCAAGGAAGATGTACAGGCTGGCTCGCGGATGGTGCTCACTTACAAGGACTTCCACGAACCTTCCTTATGCTCAAAGAAATGTGATTTTGGATTATGACAGGAGGTTTAATCTTTAGTCAAGAGTTACTAGTCAAAAAGGAGTTGTATTTTCCATCCACTCTTAGCTTACACCATATGTAATGGCGTCGCCGTCGCAGTCGCATCGGGCCGTAAGATTGGTGGAAAAAAGCACCGGGATGTTTGGGGAAATCCGGGGACTACCAGGCCGAGCCATTCAGTCCAACACCAGGCAGTCTGGCTGCCTTTCTTTGTGGCGCTCTTCGTCCGCGGCTCGTTTCCGCCACGTGGGCGGAGCGACGTGGGGAGTCGGCCGGTCGGACGGAGAATCGGGAAATGAGTCGAGGAAGTCAACAATGACAATGCTTGGAGGCCATGACCCTGTAGGTTGGAGGCCATTCCCAACGGTTGGAGGTTTCTCAGGTCCGACATGTGTTGGCATGACATGCAAGAAACGCACATCCGTTGGGGAGGGTCCAGTGTCGCGGACCTTGTGTTTTTCCCATGTTCTCGATTGTCAACCGCCCAATCGGATGGCCATCCGTTCTTCAAAACTGGTGGACAAACGTTTGGGAGGGTGGGATGGAGTGGGAACTCCGAAGCAAGCCACGCTAAACAGTTTGGGGGTGTGGCCTGAGCCTGAGCAGCAGGTTTTGGATTGCCCAGCCCCAAACCATCCATGGATGGAATAGCTACCTAATGCTACATACATTTACCTACCCGACCCTTATGTTGGTAACTATTCCAGTCCCATGGATGGCTTGGAAGCTTTTGTTCTTCCCTTCAGTTCGCTCCACACGCTCAGGCGGATGGGAAAGAAAGCGCCTGGAGCCCTGTGGAGTGGTGATCTTGTCGGGTGAAGCCGCTACATTCATATGGTTTGTTTGTGTCCGAACTTACCTATCTTACCTGTACAGCCATCAGTAAACGAGTAAACTAAGTAAACAAGAACATTACTATTTTTGATTAAGGCCTGCAACGTAACCATCATCATCCATTGGTACAGGTAAGAGGGTAGAGCCAAGATATGGTCTTGGAAGCATGGGCCCAACAAAGCGCCACCATCAGCATAGTTGTGTTTGCTCATTTTTGTGAGTTGATGTCAAGGGGCACTTGAGGATAGGAACATGCTTCCCTGGATGTGTTAGATCCAAGAGAGAATCAACAACTCGCTGCAAAGAGCTTTGGCAGTTGGCTCAAAAAGATGTAAGTAGACTAGTCAGTCAACTTAGATATACCCCCAGGCATTTTGGCTCAGTCACAAGTAAGTGGTGATGTGAGGGCCGTCCGTTATTGCCAGTGAAGGAATTTCGATCAAATGTTAAAACACACATGTCGCGAAAGGGAAACTGCAGTCCGCGAAAGGCCGGCAATAGGACAGCGAAAGACATGTGCCAACCTAGACTTACATACAATGTGCATAATACATGACACATCCTTTTTCCCGAACAGAAACACGGATTTTCGCGAAAGGGCTGCGAAAGGCCGGCGGTAGGCCCGCGAAAGGGCGCATTGCCTGGAAGGTCATCTGCCCATCCATGGCCTTGAAATAAGCCTTGAAACATTTGTTTCAAGTATGAATTGACAAAGGGTAATTAGCCTGCTTCTCAGCGCACTAACAGGTATTTAGATATCCCAAACACTGTGAACTCAGTGAAGCTCATCACAATGCGCGAAAGGAAAACCTGTGGTTTTTCTGCAAACGCGAAAGGGTCGCGAAAGGCCGGCGATACAAGCTCAAAAAGAATAGCTTTGTTGGACAACTCCCATGTGTAGAACAGTCAGTTTTGCCAGAGATGAGATTGTCTCAACAAGAGACATTGAAACGTTCACCATGTGCAAGAGGCCATCAAACTTGTGAGCGTTCCCTGTGCAGTGCAACAGTTGGGGTGTTGGTATTACATGCATATCTCTCTCTGTATATATATATATATTTATTCCAGTCCCATGGATGCTCTGGGACTGTTCACCCAAGCGGGACGGACGTTTTTTTTTCTGGCCGGGCGGACCTTCAGGTCCAAAGGTGTGGCCCCGATGGCCCCGCGGGGAGAAAAGGCGGATGGGCGTGTGGCGGCTGATGGGCCAGAGGGAGACCTCTCTTATTCCCCCAAGTCCCCGGCAAGGGGCATATTCTTGGGCTTTTTAAAGGAGTCTTTGAAGGTCCCCCTATAGCTATAGACAGTGATTTCAGAGGTGAGAAATGGCACCCCAAGATGTCTTGAACAGATGGAAGTCCATATAACTAGACCACCAAACTTGGGCTAACTTGTTTGCCATCTGAAACCACATGAAACCACTGTGTGCCGTCTGAGATCCGCTCCAGGGTGTTCGCTTTGGGCTCCGCTGTTGGACAAAGGATTCCTGCTTTCCTGGTGCTTGGTTGCAGCGTGCTCCTGGCCTTGGACAAAACCAAGACGGGACAAGTTCGTCCAGGTTTTGCTCCATGGTCAGCTTAGCAGCTGCCACGGTATGCGCATGAGTGGGCTGGTTCTATATGTTGTTCAAGGGAGAAGCCTGCACCACCGGGGATCCGCTACGATATGGTGTTTTTTGTTTCCTGTTTGTGGCTTTAATTGTAGTAGGAATTCATGAACCAGTAGGAGCTTGAATGTTGAATATAGAGGAATCGAACCTCCTTGATTTGCGTCGAACACTTCTGAACCGCCTTTCGATGCCAAAGACCTTCCAAGAGTTTTAGGAATGCTGTGGAATGGTGTTCATGCATTTGGTACATCAGAGAGAACATGCGGCCGAGTGACAGTCACATCGAAGACGTCATTGATCGTGTGGTGTGTCCCCAGCAGCAGCAGCAGTCGGCACAAACATAATCACTTGAGCAAGCTGGGATATGATCAAAGCCCTCAGTCATGTGGAGTCTCAGGCTCTGACACCGCGGGTCCTTGTTCCGTTCGCCTCACTTGGTCTCCACAGGTCCGGAACAAGGAGGGCTCGCTACGGCGCAGGTGCTGCCCAGACTGTGGCACCGAACTACTTGCAGTGGGTCCACTACTAAACCACCGAACTTGGGGATTGTGCCATCTACTCTGAAACCACTGTTATAGGATCATGTGTTTTTTTTGGGGGGTAATACGGTCTCGACCGGTCTCAACGGTTGTATTTGACTGCCAGTTCGCTTCCTTCACAAGCAGGTGCCATGCCAGAGTCTGCAGGACTTCGCCTCGGCTCTGGCGCTGCTTGGCTGAGAGTGGTGTGGAGGCTGTGGCTGTGATCAGCTGTGATCAGCTGTGATGCTTCCTATGGAGATACACATGGGATATATAGAAGAACATGTGTCCCTAGCTTCTGAAGATGTTGGACCCGAAGAGAAAAAGAAGATGGACTATAGACGTTGTTTGGCTGCATGCCCGATATGTAATAAGACACTGCTTCCCCATACATGCCCCGTTTGCTACATGCTACATACCTGGAACCTGCACAGAGCTCTGTCCGAACTTCGTTGCATACCGATGCAGCCAGGGCCCCATTTGGAAAACCCCTTGCGGTTAAAGTGTTGCCGTGCATCGCACATATCACAGCCAAAAGGTGTGGGTGTTCCGAAGGAGGTCGGATTCACAGGTGCAAAACACTGTAATTCAACGAGCTTCAAAAACCATAATACTCTCCTCAGCTCTCCTCGATCAAATCCCTAGTTTTTGGCAAACCCCTGTATAAGACGGAGGTCTATTGGACGGGGTTCTATTCCTTTTTGCTAACAGCGACTTTCTGCTCCCATCCCCTGCAGGGAGGTACCTTCCTAGATCCTCGAAAGAATGGATGTGGAGTGTCGTGCTGCAGGATTGAAACCGTCCTTTACAGTGGCTCAAAAGGAATACCCAAACACGCCTGCATTGACCTGTTTTCCCCCACAAAATCCATGGAATGTTTGGATATAATACTTAGCAGGTCACGTATCGAAAGAACACCACCCAGAATCGAACTACAACGAAACAGTGGCAATTTGATGCAATTTGTAGTGTAACTTTTGATGGGCCAATCAGTCAAAAAAAACACGGGCAAGTCTTGCTTGAGGGTGGTAGAAGCTGTTGGCAGGCAGGAGGAAAAGTCAGCCATTAATGGTCATGTTTGGTTTTAGATGGATCCTTCAAAGCCTAAGTGACGTCATTCTGGGATCTCAAAAGTTCACTGGGAAGGTCCTTCTACTTGCTTGGATGATGCCCTTTTTCTGAGTCATAGTCCGTTGCAGGCGATCAGCACCCTGAAAAACCACGGGTGCTGGAGGAAAAGCGCTCGGACGAACCGGGTTGCCATGGACTCCCCGGGTCCGTGTAGCTCACTGAGTCCGTAGAGCTCGCATGACATGACTTGCCAGGAAGCAGCTGGCGACCAAGAACCGTCTCATCCGTACCTTCGATGTGGGTGGCACCGGCGTGAAGACCGTGCCACGGCGCAGGGGGGGTCGTGGATGAGTTGAAGCTGGGGATGGCACACCTAAGCTACTGGCAAAGCCTGGTGGAAAAAGACATATATACAGTACGTTCTGAGAACATCACATTGAACGGATTAAATGGGGGTCCCATGGCCACGGCTCACCTAGCTGATGGTTTAGAGCTGTCAAATAAGTGGGTTCTCATGTCTCCCAAGAATGCCATTCGGGGCGCCCGCTGGTCCAGCATCCTTTGACATGGAAGCTCAGGCGCTGTTCTCCGCCCCAAGCCTGCAAAGCTTTCTGGAGGCTGAAGGCCTAAGCCCTGCAAGGGCTAAGTCGTTGGATGTGGTCGGGGACAGTCCACTTAGTCATGACCGTGATGAGATTTGATTTTGCAAAGGGAATCAAATAGCCACGCCAGGGCACGCAAGAAATTGTTCAAGACTAAAGATTTTACTTACCCTGCCAGTTTCCTCAGGATGTTGTCGTGGGTGTTTGATTGTTGGGGGCCCATATTACATCATCTTACATTTTTCAGCGAGGGGCTGTCGAAAGGTCCTGGATGTTTGTGATGAATCTTTGTGAGAAGTCTTCCATTTGAACTGGCTTGAGTCAGAGCATGCCATGTTAAGATGTGATGAAGCTGGATGAAGCAGTTTCGCTTTGCACTGCTGACGGAGCTATTAACAGTCAAGGGAGCATCTCTGGCAGCTGGCAGCTTTTTGCACATAGTTGATAATTACATCAACCGTTTGCGGGATATATCTATGCATATGATCATTATGCATTGAATCTGGATCCCCAAATCCAGAATCGTGACTAAATAGAGACACACATAGATCCAAAGGTAACAACTCTTATCAATTCCTTGGGGTGACGCACCTGCTGCGCCGACCTCATCTCCATGGCTGGGTCTCCTGGCGCCCGTGCCGTCCGCGCCCGGTGGCGCGGGGCGGTCGGCGTGGCACTCGCAGTCGGCGCGGTGGGCGCCTTCGTCCCGGGGTTCTTCAGCGATCTGAAAGCAGAGGTGGAGAGCGGTGGCGCCACGGCGCAGGTAGGTAGAGAGACTGGGCGGAGCGTGTCTAGTGGAGGGACCTTTAGCAGGGGGAGAGGGGGAGTCCTTCTCAGAAGCTGAGAATTTGGAGCTTCTCTTCAGTGTAGCTGACATCCGTGTTTACATGTGGCATTGGGGGAGGATCAGATTTGGTCATGTGAATGCTTTGAATCCAACATCCAACATCCACTCAGGTGGGCAAATGGTCACCGGCTATGTTGCGAAGAGAGTGTCTGGGCGTTTTTTTGGTGTGTGCGAGGCGTCGTCCAGTGGGAGCCCCGGATCCACCGGTAGAAGCAGGTTCGGAAGGTTCGAAGTAGAAGAACTGAACACAACTGAACCTATTCCGCCCCGCTATGGACCCCCAAGACCACATCGGGTGGACCCGAGCGGTCGGGTTTCCACCGGTCCATTCTCAGGTAGGGTACTTCTTGAAGCATCAACTCCGAGCTTTGAAGCTTCTAAATGGCTTCTACCAAAGCCAAGGGGCGAAGCTGCAAGCCACACAGTTTTGGGGTTATACTATGTGTAGTAGGTCCTTGTCACCACCAGGTGCAATGAGGTTTAGCTTTGATTCTGAGTCTGGGAAATCATTCGACCCAGCTCCCACACTGATTTCACCCTGCCAGGTGCCTTTGTGGTGCCTTTGTGCAAGACATGTCAAAAATTCCAGTGCTTCATCCGAGCAGCCAGGGTGCACAGCAAACCTGCCATTAGCCATCATGTTCTCATTCTCGAAGGGGAGGCTGTCAAAAAGCTACAGCTCCCTCAACCGGTTTGTCTTGGTGGTGTAGTCAACCCGTCCACCATCTCAAGTCAAGTTTTTGCTTGGCCTATATAGGGTTTGGTTGCGTAGGGTACTTAGCATTATATACTTGACTACATAAAACGATTTTCAAGAAGATCATCCTGACAACCCTGATATAGGTGGTGAAAGTAGTAGTGATGCCAACATCCAGCATTCGTCCTTGATCCGTCTCGACCGTATGTGTTCGGTCCCAAGCCCAAACCATAATGCTGGGTATGTCCAGCATTCGTCCTTGGCTCACCTCACGGATTTAAGACTTGTAGTCTACTGGTTTTTGAAGCCGTTGGCTTGGCAAATTGCCAACCACCTTGGGCTTTTGAGGGCGCTATGATACCCCACCCTTTTCTTGTCTCAGAAAAACCTTGGCGCTGCCATGCCCGGAGCCCGTCTTAGGGCAAACGCTGGGCTCCGGCAAGTTTGGTGCAGTGTACCGTGCCCACTTGGGCGTTCAGGAGGTGGCAGCCAAGGCAAAGCACGCCGTTGCGGAGGCGGAGTTGCTGATCCGCTGCCAGCACATGCTGCTGGAAGTCATGTCCGGCACACAGTCACTGTCGGACGTTTGGCTGTGCACTGGCCAGCTGCCGGCCCATCATTTCAAAGAAGCTTGCCGAGAAGCTCGAATTGAATCTACTGAATTACTCCTGAGGATCCCAGGAGATGTGTGAAGGCCTGGCGCACCCCCACACGCTCGGTATATCCCATAGAGACACCGACACCAAGTCAGACAATGTGCTTTAGTGTCTCAAGTCGACCCACCTTGCGGCTGCAAGCTCGGTGACTGTGGGTCGGCTAATGTCCAACCCTTGAGGGAGAGCCTTGGCAGAAGTGGCCCTCCAAAAGGTTGGTTACGACCCTCACCCTCACCTATCTAAAGCTGCTTGACCCAATGGAACCATCGTATGGGCCCGGCTCTGTTCAAGCCCGGTTCTGTGATGATTGAACTGAAAGATTTAAGGACTGTTGGCGCCTTGGCCTTCATTGCCTCTGAGCTAGCCCGCAGCTATGACCTCAAGGTGGACATAAAGGCATGGGCTTAGAATCTTTTTGGCTGCTGTATGGTGACCTTGCATGGGCGTTGTTGGGGCAGGCCAAGCCCGCCCCCCCAAGATGAATATGGACCCGGCCAATAAGAAGTGAAAATTGCCCGAACATGCCTGCATGAGCTTGATAGTGCAAAGAGCAGGATGCTTTGCTGGAGCTTCAAGCCCAGCAAGACAACAGATCCTGCCGAAGCCTCAATGTGCTACAAAGCTTTGAAAGCTCAAAGCTCAGGCTCACCAAATGCGGAAAGGGATGCAAAGATCCTTCAACTTCTGCGGTAGGATCGGAATCGCAAGCCGCAACGTCGGTGTAGCGCGGGTGAGGCTTTGAACCACACATGCTTTGCGTGAGAAAAGGTCGAATCCGCCATGGGAGCTGAGATGAAAGATGCAAACTTCTGGCATCATGAAGTATTGAGTTTCCTGCTTTCGATAAAAATATATAGCAATGCCTATAACGCAATACCGGCCTCTGATTAATCAACGATGGTGACAAGAAAGGTCCCACTAAATAAAGGACACCCTAAAATTCTAAGAAAGGAGGTTAACAAGGAAATAGAAGGAATTTTTTTCAAACATGACAATATGTTTGTATTTGAACGGGGGTTGAATTGGAATCCAACTGAATTTCAATTTGAGTCAATTAAAGTTTGAATTGTTGTTAAAAATGAATTCGAAATAGAGTTGAATTTGAACTGAATTGAATTAGCAATGATTTTGCTTAAAGTAGCATTAAACTAGAAATGAAGTAGAACTGAATTGGAGTTGAAGTGAGTTAGAACAAAATCAGCATTGAATTTGAATTAAGTTAGGGATTTCTTGGTAACGCAAATGTTTAGCTCTATTTAAGGTCCACATATTTAGGGTATGATGGCTTCATGGGGGGAACACTTTCCAGAGTGGCTTTGATCAATTTTTGACCGCTTTCAATGGCTTGTTGAAAAACGGTTCTATGAAGAACTATTATCAAAAGGTTTTGTGTTATGATGTACGCTAAAGCTAGTTCTGATGACACAGCAAAACATAAAAAATGCATAAACAATGCAAAAATAATGCAGAACCAATCCCGAAAAAATGCACAGAAAACGCAAAAACAAGTCACCAAAGGATGCCTTGGAATGCAAAAAACGCCAAAAATGCGAAAAAAAAAACATTTGTCCACTAAACAAATGCAAAAAAAAACGACAAAAATACAAAAACAAATGCACAAAAAAATGCAAGACAAATGCACAAAACATGCAAAACAAATGCAATCAAAAACAAACACATGCGATCGTTCTGGTCTTTGCCTTTGCATTTTTGGCTTTGTATTTAATGCAAGTTTTTGCATTTTTTGGCGCGTTTCCTTGAGACAACGCAAAAAACAAAGCAAAAATAACGCACAAAAAACGCACAAAAAATGCAAACAAATCGCACATACAACGCACAAACATCGAAAAAAAAAAAGCACACAAAAGGTGGTGTGTGACATTTGGTTGTGCATGTTCTTTTTTTGTGCGTTTTGTTTGTTTGGGGTTTCCTTTTGCAATTTTTGTGCTTTTTATATGCACTCTTTATGACCAGCTGCCTTTTTCTTGCCTTTTTCATGCCTTCTTTTGCATTTCCTAGTCATCATTTCTGAGTGCGGTTTTGCATGTTTTGCTTTTTTTTTATGAATCCTTGATTTCAGAGTTAGGCTGTAAGGTACATCATAAGTTTTGTGTTTTTATGATTCAAAAAGATGTTAGATGAGGAGGAAAAGAACTTGAGAAAGAAATCCACCGAAGCAATCTGTTAACAAAGGAATGGAAAGATCAAACGATAAGGATATAAATAGAGTTGTTTTGCTGGCAGCGCGATTGTTTGGCTTTATTTTGGGGTGCACTCTATTTAGGCTATGGTGGCTTCAGTAAAATGCAATAGTGTGTTTTTTTTCAGAACACGACGTTGTGGAGGTGTTTGTTTTCCCAGTGTTCTAGTCTTCTTACGAATTTACTATATCTATGCGCTGGAGGTTCTTATTTATAGGGATAAATTGCAGGAGGATACTGTCACATCACGCGCCACATCACAGTAGCAGACATCGCATAGACATCGCAATGTCGCCAGCGTCGCGGACATGGACCGCACAGAGTTTCCCAGAGGGGGGGGGGTCGACAAAAAAAAGATGGGCGGCCTTGATTTGAGGCAGCGCCAACTTTGTTTTCTTTTTTGGCCGACCCCCCCCGGGAAACGGAGAGCATACTGAAGAATCAGAAAGGAAAATGCGCAAGGAAATGGAATAGGACAAAATACTTTCCATTTCCCACGAATCTCGTCCACTCGTTGCTTGCACTTCTTTGTAGTTGAGGCTACTACAAATTGGCGATTGAAATTTGTAACTTCATTCGCTCCGTTGGCTTCACTGCATTGAGTGGCACTGTCTGACTGCA